TTCAGAACGCTGTCAACGAATTCATTCAACGGTACCACGAAGGACTTTTACCTCGTGGCGAAATATTCTCCCTCATGTACCAGCAACATTTTGATGAGGCAGTCAACTTTTTCCATGTTCTCTACTCCGCTGTAGACTACACTACTTTCTACAATACCGCCGTTTGGGCTCGTTTCAACATGAACGAGATGATGTTTACATATGTGTTCAGCGTAGCCGTGCTGCACCATCCTGATACCGTAGGAATCAGTCTGCCACCTTTATATGAAGTCATCCCTCATTTCTTCTTCGATACTCAAATGATCTACCAGGCTATGCAATACAAAATGAGTAAGGGTTGATTGAAATAATTATACGATAGACCCCAATTTCCTGGACTAATAATTATTTGTTTGGATCAGGTAAGGATCCCACGATCCACCACAGTGTTGTCTTCCCTGCCAACCACAGCCAAATTACTTCAATGCACACCACTGAACCGCAAGTTAAAACGCACTACTTCACCGACGACATTGGTCTGAATGAGTTCTACTTCTACTTTATGAATGAAGTGCCATACTTTATGACGAGTCATGAAGTCGGAATGCCTAAGGGTATTCGTGGAGAACTATTCCTGTTCGTTCACAAACAATTGTTGGTTCGTTATTACTTCGAACGTCTTAGCAACGGTCTTGGCGAAATCGAGAAATTCGACTGGAGCCAAGACTTCCCAGTCGGATACCATCCAACCATTTCGCTACCTAACGGAGTTCCCTTCCCGGAACGTGAACCTTGGTCACCTATACCAGTTGAGAAGTACGACTACGTTCAGGTAGGTGACCCTAATATAATGCTGCACCATTCTCTCTCTATTTACGGTTTTTAGAGTAATATTTTAATTTGATTTTCAGGAAATCGAAGATGTCGAGAGCCGCATTTATGAGGCTATTAATTCTGGACACGTTATAGATCCCAACTACAAACCTGTTAATATTTATAGTCCCGGCGGTCTTGACATCTTGGGTAACATCATTCAGGGTAATGCAGATTCCTATAATCCTCACCTCTACGGTTCATTTGTTCATCTGGCAAAGAAAATCTTTGGGTTCAATGTTGAACCTTTTGGGAAGTATCCAATTTACCCAAGTGTCCTTGAGTATTTCACTACCAGTATGCGTGATCCTGCTTTCTACGTTCTCATGAAGAAGGTCGTGAACTTCTACATGCAGTGAGTGCAAAAGCGATTTACTAGCTTGAACTAGTCACTGCAACCTTGTAAATTAGGATTGCACTTAACGTTGATCTTTTTCTCTTAAATTTAGGTACAAATCTCACATGCCCGCTTACACCCATAATGAACTTATATTCGATGGAGTCACTATTGAACATGTCTCTGTTGACCAAATGATTACTTACTTCGAGAACTTTGAGGCTGACATGAGTAACGCA